GACATTCACTGCCAATGTACTATCGTCGTTCTCTAAATATATCATACCACTGCCGTTCACTGACGATGAACTATTAACATTCATTGAAGATAGCAAAAAGATAACAAACACCGACGTTCACTGCCGATGTACTACCAACATTCACTGAAGGTAGAAAGAGAAAATATCATACCACTGCCGTTTATTAACGATGAACTATCAACATTCACTGAAGATAGCAAAAAGATAACAAACACTAACGTTCACTGCCGATGTACTACCAACGTTCACTGAAGGTAGAAAGAGAAAATATCAAGTTTTCTAGAATTCTGGTGTTCTACCAAGAACGGGTCTCGCTTCTTCTTTAACCAAGGAGATTTGCCTGGAAAGGGTACTATGTAACCTGTCTCAAATAAAGAGACTACCACTTATTACCAAAAGGGAGCTGCAAAGAAAAATGGCTTTCCAAGGATCAAAATATGACTTCCCGGAGAAATGCCATGATATTCCCGCTGAGGAGATAAAGTCTCCTTGTGCAAAATAAATGCACAAGCAAAAATTCAAAGTTTTCAGAAATCCATAATACACGGCATCGTCATGCAACCACAAATCCAATTCAGAAAAATACCGGAACAAGACGGCCAAAGCGGATTCATCCTTTGAGAAATAAACTCAAGAGGGAAGACCAAATTCAACCAAACAAAGAGCGCTGCAGTAAAGGTCAGAAACACAATGTCCATGAATGATGATTTTAGCAATATATGATGGATGTATGAATGTACGAGTACTATTGTGCATATGCTGATAAAAAGGATACATAATCAGTGCAGACAAATGAAACCGCCTCAATTACTAACAACATTGGGCTAAGCTTCAATCAGAAAGATCAATCCAGGAAAGGTGAAAGCGACTGCGAAAACCAAACCTATTGCTTTAAATTCACTGAGGAGAACATAATCCGACTGTAGCTTAAATCAAACAGACACCGGGATAGAACACTCTGCTTCCGGGTTCATCGGAGAAACAGTTTTCCAAAAGTAACATGCCTATTAGAGATTGCAAGATCAACCTTAAATAAGGAAAACTGACGTCGAAACAACTAAACCTCACTCGGGAATTCAAGCCTACCTCCCAAGAGAAAAGAAACTGCGGGTTGAAAATTTTCACCACGAACCCTCATTCAAACAAGAGATGCCCTAGGATAACCCTCCCGGGAGATCAAGAAGTCAACACTAGTGTCGATACTGTAAAAAGAGCAACACCTCAGCACACCAAGGGAATAAAACCTTTCATCATATGAGGGAAGACTTTGCTGGGGAAGCTGGGACGAAGTCTTCTGACCATGCAAACCCAAAATCAAAAGCGAATCAAGACTTAACTGGGGATAATGGGATCACCAAACCAAATACTGTACTTTGTACCCACTGATATCGTCTTTAACTATCTGGGAAACACACAGAGATTGCGCACATACCAGCAAAATTACCTGAGAAAACCTTTATGAAGGAAGTAAATCTTCTTAAAGCAACCGGATTTTGTTCATCCCTGGGATCACCATTTTTGTTGTCATTGTTTCATCACAAATCCCAAAGTAAATTGAATTGTAAAGATCTCTTTTTTTTGAAAAGTCAATTTTGCTTTTTAATCTCTTTGCTTTAAAAGTTATTATCAGTAATAAATAATGTCTTTGCAAGCTAAATAAAATTAAGAATACAAAGAATTAGGCAAAAGCTCGAATTTCATTAATAGAATGGTAGTCTGCGAATGGCGAGACTCCATGGATGATTACAAAATTTGGGAAATGGTAATACATAATGGAAAAGATACATTGAGATACAATGACCACTATCCCCCCTAACAACTTTTGAAATCCTGAGCAGCAGCCTCCGTTGAAGTATGGTGAGGATCTGAGAAGATTATTGCTTTGGTGATCAAGTTTCGTCTGGCGTAGTTACTTGCCAAGAAAATCCATAACTTTTGCCTAAGCTGCCCTTGCGGGTTTTTAACTTAGCGGGAAATTTGTTCTGTTTATGTCTCTAATTTTTGCCTAGACTGCCCTTTCGGGTTTTTGGCCTACCGAGACGCTCCTTTTTGTCTAAGTCGCCCTTTCGGGTTTTCAACTTAGCAAGTTGTTCTTTTATTTCTTTATGCAAAGTATTTCTTGATTGAGTCAGCATTCATGGGACGTGGGAACTCCTCGCCATCCATAGTTTCAAGAATTAATGCACCACCAGAGAAGGCTTTATTGACAACATACGGGCCTTCGAAATTGGGAGTCCACTTGCCCCTAAAATCAGCGTTGAAAGACATGATCTTTCTGAGCACGAGGTCGCCTTATCTGAATTCATGAGGTTTGACCTTTTTATCAAATGCTTTCTTCATTATTTTATGATATAACTGCCCATGACACAAAGCTGTCATTCTCTTCTCTTCAATCAAATCCAATTGGTCAAACCTGTTTTGAACCCATTCAGCCTCTGTCAATTTGGCTTCCATTATCACACGCAGCAAGGGAATCTCTACCTCGACAGGGAGTATAGCTTCCATTCCATACACTAGGGAAAATGGGGTCGCTCCTGTTGAAGTGTGAACAAATGTTCGATATCCATGTAGAGCAAAAGGGAGCATTTCATGCCAATCCTTATAAGTGACAACCATTTTCTGGATAATTCTCTTGATATTCTTATTAGCAGCTTCAACAGTCCCATTCATCTTTGGCCTGTATGGAGATGAATTATGATGGACAATCTTGAATTCTTCACACAGTTCCGTCATCATCTTGTTGTTCAAATTTGAGCCATTGTCAGTGATGATTCTGCTTGGCACACCGTATCGGCATATAAGATTGTTTTTGATGAAACGCACCACCACCTGTTTGGTAACATTGGCATATGAAGCAGCCTCTACCCATTTGGTAAAGTAGTCAATTGCTACCAAGATGAAATGGTGTCCATTCGAAGCCTTGGGTTCTATCATCCCGATCATGTCAATACCCCACATAGAGAAAGGCCATGGGGAGGAAATCACATTGAGAAGTGTCGGAGGCACATGGATCTTATCTGCATAAATCTGGCATTTATGGCACTTCTTTGCAAATTTGTAACAATCGGATTCCATTGTCAACCAATAATATCCTGCCCTTAGCATCTTTTTAGCCATTGAATGTCCATTAGCATGAGTGCCAAATGAACCTTCATGAATCTCATGCATCAACATGTCTGCTTCGTGTCTATCCACGCATCTGAGCAAGACCATGTCAAAATTTCTCTTGTATAGCACATTTTCACTGAGGAAGAAACTGCCTGCCAATCTTCTCAGTGTCTTTCTATCTTTCTTTGACGCACCAAACGGGTATTCCTGAGTTTGAAGAAAATGTTTGATATCATAATACCAAGGTTTTTCATCTGCTACCTCCTCTGTCACAAACACATGAGCGGGCCTATCTAGCCGTCGAACTGTAATTCGGGGTATATCATTCCAAGCATTTACTTGGTACATGGAAGCCAGAGTTTCCAGAGAATCTGCCATTTGGTTTTCATATCTAGGAATGTGATGGAATTCAACTTTATTGAATAAGGGTAGTAATCTTCTAGCATAATCTTTGTAAGGGATCAAGTCAGGGTGACGAGTGTCCCATTCTCCTTTAATCTGATTTATTACCAAAGCTGAATCACCATACACATCCAAAATCTTTATTCTGAGATTAATAGCTTCCTCAAGACCCATGATGCAAGCCTCATACTCCGCCATATTATTAGTGCAATCAAATGTTAACCTCGCGGTAAAAGGAATATGTGATCCATGAGGAGTGACAATCACAACACCAATTCCTTTACCATAAGCATTCACAGCTCCATCCACTACAAGAAAATTAGTGTTTAACGACACAAAAATTGCGACAGTTATGTGATAACTGTCGTAATTGACATATAGAGACAGTGTTTACGACAGTTGACACCAACCGTCCCTAATATTTATTTTGCGACAGTATATTTAACCATCATAATATTATTATTACGACGGTAAAACAACCGTCGGCCCCCATTTAACACTTTTAACATTGATTTTTCACCAACAACTAGTCACGACGGTAAAATTAACCGTCCTAAAAGGCATATCACGACGGTAAAGCACCCGTCGCACCCTTAAACCTTTCACGACGGTAAAATTATCCGTCCTAAAATTCATTTCACGACGGTAAAACAACCGTCGCACCCAAAACCTTTAAAAATTCTCATGGACACGACGGTAAAACACCCGTCGCCGTAAAAAAGTTAAAAAGCTCTTAAAATACATAAAACATCAATTCATTTTCTACTCCGTAAACATTATAAATATCACTAAATAAAGTTTACTCTTACAAATTTAGAGATAAAAAAAGTTAACGAATAAAAATAAAATAAAAAAATATTAATTGTAATATATAAAGAGATAATTTATGTTAGTGGTGACATATAAATAGATAAAAATATTATATATTTCATAAAATATAAAATACTTAATTTAATTTCGAAAATTTTAAAGAAAAATATATTTCAATAATATAAACGATGGATTTCACAAACATTAATAAATATATAAATTAAAAATATAATAATAATTAAAATTTAGACTAATTTTATATTTCTCTTTCATGTACATTATTGTTTATCGTATGTAAGATATAATTTCAAAAGTCATAATATATATAATATAAATTGAAAACTCTCATAATATATATAATATAAATTAAAAACTCTTAAATTATTTTAAACCGTTTAATATAAAAAATGAATTTGATATAAAATATCAATAAATATATTTTGTATTTGAATTAATAATTATTAATAATAATTTAATAAAACTTATCCTGGGGTTGGTCTAAGTGTAAAAACATAAATTCCTCAAACAAAATCAATTATACTTTAAAATCATTTCCAAAATGAATTCAGAGTTGCAGTAGATTCTGGGAGAGAGGGCTCCAAATGACAGTCTGAGGCAGTTGTTGCCGTAATAATTGTATTGAATCTCCCTCCGATATCATGTTCCATTCTCACCGTCTCAAAGCTGTTGTCTACCTCAACCATCTTTCTTCAACTCCAAAATCTCACCACCTTCTTCACTCTCTCAATCCCTTCTCCACCACTTCAGATTCCTTCACCCTATCCTACTTCACCAACAACTGTGGCCTATCTCCACAAGACGCTCTCAAAGCCTCAAAACGACTCCGTCTCACTTTCACCACACCCGAAAAACCCAACTCCGTTATCGCCTTCTTCAAAACCCATGGTTTCTCCATTCCCCAAATCCAATCCATCATTCTCAAGAACCCCCAACTCATCCTCTCCAACCCCACCAAAACCATTCTCCCTAAGTTTCAATTTTTAGCCTCCAAAGGCGCTTCTCCCTCCGACATAGTCGCCGCCGTCACCAGAAGCTCTCGTTTCCTCCGTGTAAGCCTCGAGAAACATATTATCCCTGCTTTTCAGTTGGTACGATGTTTCTGTCCCTCCGATCAAAAAGCCATTACTTCAATTATCATTTGTCCTGCTTCAATTAGTGATGTTCGCATGAAACCTAATGTCAATTTTTTGCTTCAATTATCCAAACTTAGTAGAATCTGTTCTTAGTCCCTCTCATGTGATGAATTTAAATTTAGTTCACATATGGAACATACATATTCTACTATCCAAGTTCTGTTAAATTCTTATGTAACCAAACAAGCTACATTTTCTTTTGTTTTGATTTCAGGTGGCATTGGCAACAGCAGCAAAAGCAAAATTACTTCTTCGTGAGCTAAAAACCGTTAAAGCGGATTTAGCATTTGCTAAAGCGCGCTGTGCTCAACTTGAAGAAGAAAATAAATTACTCAGGGAACGAGAAGGAAGCGATAAGGGACTTATCCGTGATGATGATGATCTGGTATTAATCAGTTTGTTGTTTACCTATTTGAATTTGCATTTAGAAGCCAAAGAAATTTGAAAGTGCCATGTTATTATGTAATGTAGCATTAGCCTCTCTCTTTTGAAGAAACTATGCTACATTATAAGGTAGAAGCATGCATAAAATTAACATCATGTATATGCATAATGCATTATTATTACTACTACATTTTGAACTTGAGGTCTGGTACTAAATTTGTGATCTACTCAGATCTGCAGCAAAATGATCACACTTTTTGTTTATAGGGTTATAGTCTTAGATGAGATTCTCTTGTTTTGAGAAATATATGCATGTTTTCTAACATACATTCATTTATTTATTCCACCTGATTGCAATGTGAGGACTGAGGAATTAAGACCATGGGAGTATTTGATACTCATGTTTTGTGTGTAACTTTCCTGTCACTGTGTCTGTGAGGAGGTTGGTTTGGAAAACTCCTTCATTACAAATATTCGACATTGTATTAACATCACACAATCCAATGTTGATTCAGATTATGATGCTAAACCCAGCTTTACACAGATCTTGGTAATCTCATCTATTGGGTTGATATTTTTCATAGCATTGCGTTATCATCTCAAAAAGATTCGAGATCAAAAGATCATTCCGCGTTTAAGATTATCGCGTGCAGGTCACCCCCCAAAGCTTGAAAGATTCTCTCATTACGTATGTATACAAAAAAATATGTATTCTATTCAATTACATACATTGATGGATCCGTTATTATTTTATCATTTGGAAATTGGAATGAATCTATATGTCATTTTCTTTGATTTGTTACAGCTAGGCAAATGGGGTTCAAGGATAGGAGAATCGGTCCTGATATATGTAGATTGGCTTCTGAATACATAAGCAAATATGAAGGGTTTGAAGATGATATATATGCCTATTTTGAGAATGAACCAGATGCTGATTCACTTTATGTCAAGTTGGTGGAAGAGTTTGAGAGATGCATTCTTAGTTACTTTGGATTTCATTGGAACCATTGTGACATATTGATAAGTCAGGTATCAGGGTTATCTAGTTATTAACAAAATATCAGAGGTGTTAGCAGCAATACACTCTCTAAAACTGATTTTTTTGGCTTTGCAGGTTTTGAGCTCGGACATTTCTGAGCCAAAAAAGAAGCTAAAGAACATAGTTATGGCTGCTACTAGGTTTGTATTTCTAACATTCTTTATGAACACCTAGTATAATATATTTTAAAATGAGATGAGAATCATTATTATGTTCCAAAGAATTGTTATTTTTTTCTAAAGGTGAATAGTATTCTTTGCACAGGGATCAAAGGTTCGAGAGAGTTGCCAAGAGTCTGAAGGTGGCTAGTGTTTTTAATACATTAGTGGAAGAGATGAAAGCGATGGGTATTGCAGAGGTGAAATATTCCGCTGCTTCTTTGGCTGCTCAAAGTCTATTGCTAAGGTGAGAATTTCATTTTCAGTGTTTATAGTTAATGGCTAGTTAACTGTATTATGCTCATGCTGGTTATTCTAAATCAATACAATTGATTTTGAAATGTTATTGTGCTCCCATTCACATTGGATCCTTTTCTGCTCTGGTACTTTCTTTACTCGAGTTTGTTATGGTTCCCAGCAGTTTAGATTAGGGGTTGGCATTTGTCATGATTAGTACTTGTCTTACTGCTCTGATAGTCATACCTGGATGCTCATGTGATTTTGTTGCTGACAATAATATTAAAATCTAGGAGATTTCTCAGTTTCATTTTGTAAAGCATGTATTTGCTACGTATTTGCTACGCAGGTGTAAATGTTGATGAATTATTGCTACGGGAAGTACACTATCTTCACCAAGTTATTTAAATAAGCATTACGTATTGAAATTTGGGGTAGCCAATACAAAAATTGATACTAATGTGAACTCCGCTACACTGCAAATAGCAACGAATTAGCAGAATTAGTTGTGTTTTTAGCTGTGGACACTGGTCTTTCTTCGTATCATTTCATGTGTTTGTATCTGTGTCGGATTCCGGGTTTCATTGATGCGAAATTTGCTATTTTACCACTTCCCTGGACTCCATGCCCCTTTTATCACTAGTTTCTAATCTGCTTTCTTTAGGCTTTTTCTTTAGAAAAAAAAAGTAAAGAAATGGTTAGAATGAACATTTACTATTAAAGTTCATTTGGTGCAGATGGTAAGTAGCATAGTTTGTGCAGAAGGGTCACCAGAGGGCATAATCTCTACCGCTGACATTGATACAGATGTAACAACTGCACTAGTTTGTGCGAATGTAGATGATGGTGAGCTTCCTTTGGATTACAATCAAGGGAATACTGATGGAAAGCCTTGATGAGAATCTGATTATTGAGTGTCTTGATCAGATACAGCCAATGCGAAAGCGTTCCAGAGACAGGCCTCGTAAGTCAGAAACTGATGATGCAGACTGGCCAGAGAAGCCATTGCTGCTAACACAGGGACCAACCAAAAACAAGAGGTATCAGAACGGTCAAACTAGAGGTCCAGGGAGGCCTCCTAGGGTAATTCAAGATACTGAACAATGTGAAGATAAGTTAAAGAAAAAAGAAGAGAAGTTAAGGAAGAAAGAAGAGAAGTTGAAGAAAAAAGAAGAGGAGTTAATGAAAAAAGATCAAGCTAAGCTGCATGACCGTGAAGAGAAATTAAAGAAAAAAGATGAAGCTAAGTTGCATGACCGAGAAGAGAAATTAAAGAAAAAAGATGAAGCTAAGCTGCATGACCGTGAAGAGAAATTAAAGAAAAAAGATGAAGCTAAGTTGCATGATTGTGAAGAGAAATTAAAGAATGAAAATCAAGCTGGTCGTGGTCGAGGTCGTGGACGAGGTCGTGGTCGTGGTCAAGGTCAAGGGAGGGCTCCTAAGCCCAAGGTATGTGATACTGATGCACCAGTTGCTGAAGCCACAACCATTTGAAGTTCAGGGTAAGAGGTGAATGCAGACCTCTTAAACATAACCAGATTTAAGTTGCTACTTCAGTTTGCACTGCAGGTGTATGAAGGGAAAAACAGAACCACTTGGAAGCAGTAATGGCAAGAGCTTGGTATATCTGAAAAGGTCATCAATTCTATTTGCTCGGTTGCTCTTGATTCTTATTCATCCTGCTTTTTTGAATGGATTTTCATAGCTAAAAGCAAATTTTTGTTTATTTTTTTATCCAAATAGTTTTTATATCTTATTTCATACAATCTGATTCTTATTCACTTTTTGTGTGCTAATGTATGGTTTTCATTCTTCATTGACTAGGTCATGGATGTCTTGATGTCACTGCAACAATCTCAACTGGATGCTGATGATCCAACTGCAAGTTACATGTTACAAGTATGATCCTTTTTTTTCCTTCCATTTGTTGACATCAACTTTGGATCATATATTTATATATTCTCTTGTTATGGTTTAAATACATTTATACCTCAGATTTTCACTTGGATTTTATATTCTCAGGCATGGTAGACGTTCATCTGAGTCTAGCTACCGTATTGGAGATAATGGAACTTCAGGGGGGACAAATTAGACTTTGCTATGATCGAGATAATTAGATTGTGAACTTTCTCATGTATTTTTGGCATAATGATACTTATTATTATAAGATTAGGAATTGATATATTTTGGATTTTTTGTACTACTTGACATGATTATGGAACTCGCATTTTACATGATTATGGAACACATTTTTTTGGATATTATAATGCTTATTTGATGTTAAATATTTTTTATTGAAATTATTTTTACTATATTACAAAGTGATAGAAAATAAAACAAAAAATAATACTATAAATAAATATATTAAAGAAGAAATAATTTAAAGAAAAAAATAACACAAAAAAAAACTATATTTAAAATTTTTACATAGATAATAATTTAAATAAAAAATATATATAATAGAAAAATAAAAAAAAATAAGACATAAACAAAAGTCATAGCGACAGTAGCGAACCGTCGTAATCAACAATTAAAAATAATCAACAAAAGTCATGACGGTATCGAACCGTCGCCATAAACAATTTAATCAATTTCAAAAGATGTTCACGACAGTATCGAACCGTCGCCATCAATAATTAAAAGAAACTCAAAAGATAGTCACGACGGTATCAACCCGTCGTAAACTTGAACGACAGTTTTTGTAACCGTCGCGAAATAGGTTGGGGACACACACTTCTGCGACGGTAAAGCAACCGTCGTGGAAAGCAAATTGCGACGGTTTTAACCGTCGTAATCTACAAAAATACCTGTCGCAATCTGCCAATTTTCTTGTAGTGATCAAATACCATACTCCAACGAGATTCAGGGCCGGGGCCCTCCTCAGGCAATGGTTCATCACAATGTTTCACTTTTAAGAACATCACATCTTCATCGGGGAATTCATATCCTGCAGACCGATGATCTTCCACTGGCTGGTGAGCAAGATAATCTGCCAACACACTACTTTTGATAGCTTTTTAAGTGCGGTATTCAATATCATATTCAGATAAAAACATCTGCCAGCGGGCAATTCTCCCAGTAAGAGCAGGCTTTTCAAAAATATACTTGATTGGATCCATTTTGGAGATCAACCAAGTAGTATGATTTAACATATACTGTCGCAAACGCTTTGCTGCCCAGGCCAAAGCACAACATGTTTTTTCTAGCATAGAATACCGCGACTCACAATCAATGAACTTTTTGCTGAGATAATAAATGGCGAACTCTTTCTTTCCTGTTTCATCATGTTGTCCCAGAATACAACCCATGGATTTATCTAACACTGTCAGATACATAATCAACGGTCTTCCTTCTACATGAGGGAGCAAGATAGGAGGTTCAAGCAGATACTCTTTAATACTTTCAAATGCCCTTTGGGAGTTGTGATCGGTGGAAATAGAACTGACTGTTTTTTAAGCTGGTTCGCGAAATGTCGCGGTAAGCAAGAGTCGCCACCGTCTTTTATGTTCTCCAACATAGAAAGGACAAAAGCACAGCAAAATTCCTTCTTTGAGATGTCTCTCGGTTCGGGAGGTAGATTTATAGAAAGGGAAGGTATTAGCACCCTTTCTATCCGTGGTTATCCACGGGCTCTTAGGTACTTGCTCTTATGTTTTCAAAATTTGTTTGCTTTTCAAGTGTGTGTGGGTTTTGAAAAAGTTTCGTTTGAAAAATTTCTAAGTAACTCTTGTATCTGTCCTCAAGAGTGTATGAAATATTTGTTTGAAAACCTTTTGAAAGTGTAGGTGCGAAAAGTTGTTTTTGTTTTTTGAAAGAGCAAGTACCCAGGAGAATCTACCTACTCTAAGTAATTAGGTTGTGTAAGAGTCCTTTAGATAGTGCTATCCCATCATTGAGAGGTAGGTAGCACCATCGTGGGAGGTATTCGGGTCAATTCGATTATTAGGGACATGTGTGGTCACCGAAGCAATAGTAGGACACCTTAGCGATAACCCTAATGTCCTAGATCCTTTTTATCCGAGGCAACCGTTTCGAGGCGACTGGATCTTTAGACAGGAGGGCGACCTCTAAGACACCCTATACTTGACGACCACGTTCGAGGCAACCAGTGAGGCGTACCCTAAGAGTGGCATGTGCATGTGTGTTGTTTCAGTTTATGTTATCTTGTACATGTATCATGGTGATCTACGAGTTGTTTTTAATTTTCATACAAATCTTTCATGCATATTAACAGTTAAGAGTGCGGAAAATAAATTGCGGAAAGGTAAAGCTACGCTATTACAAGGCGTGGGTCTATACATCGCCAAAAACATAACCAGTTTGGAAATAAATGCGAAAAGTAAATAAAGCGTTAAACCCTAATTAACTATTACATCCTCGGAAACAGTTACATAAAATATAATCAAAAATAATGATAATGCACGAAAAGAAATTTAATCAGGACGTTCTTAGGGTTTTGACCCTTTTGAGAAATAAAGCCATTTTGGTCCTTTGCAATTAATTGAATATTAACCCTAAACTAATTAATTAATTAATTAAAAGAAAAAATGTTTTTTGTGTTTTTTAAGTCTTTAATAAAAATAAAATAAAAATAAAATAAAAGTCAAAAGGAAAAACCCTAATTCTAATCTTTTTATTTATTGTGAAAAATAGTCAAAATTTATCTAATTAAACTAAATCAATTTGGTTAGTATTTATTTACAAAATAATGAATTAAAGTGAAATTAATAATTAGTAATAAAATATATTTACATTTTAATAGTCTGAATTTATTATGAAAATTAATTTGTTAGTTAATAATAATAATAATAATAATAATAATAATAATAATAAGTTAAAAGAATTAAAGGGAAAAAGAAAATAAAAATAGCAAACCAGGAGGGGTGTGATGGCCCATGTATGGAGGTTTTGTTCTAGAAATTTAGGCCCAATAGCAACTCAAGCCTGTTGACTTTCTTGAATCGTCCAGAGATGCATTGACTCATGAGCACCATGATCTCCACCCTTTGACCAT